AAAACAATATGGTCTCTCCTTCCTTCCCCTGTTGTAATTTTTTCCCTGCAAGTCTGAGGCCTCAAGATGGCGATAAACAGCTGATAGTCTAAGCTGCGGCAAAATGCTAATTTGACTGGGTCATAATCCTGAGCGCCTGTAGAGTATAGCTAGAAGGCTTGAAGTAGTAGCAGTCAAGATGTAAAAAGTGTTGTTTCCAAGCAGTAAGCACATAACCTGCCTCTTCTAATAATTATATTGAGCTGACATTATCAATTTCACTCTTTGTGCTGTGCCCTCGCGGTCGAGTTTTTCTCAGATGTTATATCAGTTTTGAACCAGTTTGTTTGTTAGAATATGTTTGTATGATTTAGCTAAGAAATGAAAACTTTTTTCTAATCCTTTTGAAAATTGAATATTGATTTTACTCAACGTATCTATGAATAATACGAGATTGTCATTTGTCACTCAGGGTAACAACACAGCAGATCAGTTAGCAAAAAGTGCTGCTGAAACCAAAATTAAAAAAAGTAGCGAAATGTCACGTTTCTATGTCCAAATAGCATCAGCTTGCTACTGGCACTGCGACTGGACACTGTCAGCTTCTCTGTAATACAATACCGATCATATTTGGCAGTTTATAGTTTTGTGGAATGTAAAGAGAAGGAATATATATTTTGCTGACATTGGAATGTATACAGTAAAGAGAAAGTAGCAGGTGGATATAAAAATGTCTTTGATGCATACTGCAAAACGCATCGCTTGACATAGATGTACAGTTGCTATTATACAGAATGGCGTTAGTAAATTTCAATCAAATAAAATGTATTCTGTATAGGAGGGACTCAGGCCAATTTGTATATTGTCCCAATCAATTATGAAAATTTGTTTCAATGTTTGTTTACATCATTAAAGCAATACTTCTTTTTATATTGGCTCGAAATTAATTTTCAATATTGGTTGTACGTCATATTTTACCTATTTTCCCAATCAATGATAAAAATATTGGTTCAACGCTGATTTATAGAATTAAGCCAGTATGTTTTATTGACTCAATATTGCAAGACATACTTCGTATATTGTCCCAACCAATTATAAAATTTTTGTAGGACTCCATTGTCTGGCCGAATCACATATCTATTCAAATTTCTCTTTACTGTACGCGAGATATAACTTCCGCTATCAATATAATGTTTCACCAACATCTCTCTGTAACATTGTGTGTACGAACGCAATTACAATGTTGTGACTAATCAATATTGCAAAATAACATGTTGCGCCAATGTCGACTAAAAGAGAAAACGAAAAGTATTTTCCAAGTTTAGCCAATATAGGGCTGATCTTGGAGTTTGGAATGCTAGTGCCAATATATGAATATTGATCCAATATAAAAAAATGTTCAGCCAATGTCCTGTGCTACTCGGATAAGACGGCAAATATCTGACTGGAAAACTGTTGTGCAGGTTCCAAACCACCCAACTATTGAAATAGGTGGTGATACGACCCAGCGAAGTTCCAGTGTAGTCGCAGTTGAGCAGTCGGAAAACAAGTGTCTAACGTCCTGTTGATGTACCTCTTAGTTCAATATTACAGAAATGTTCCCGTAGCCGACTGTATCTGGTTGCAATGCCAGTAGTAAACCCGATGCATCTCTGAGATATCTGAGGATCTCGGACGTAACTCCATTACAAATCCATATTAGGTGCCTAAATACGAATCAGCTACTTAAAACCTCAAATACTGTGAAAAAGACTGTCATTACAACCGAAACGTTAGTGAAGTTACTGTTTCAGTTACCTTTTGAATGGAAAATCTGGCTCCGCCTATGTCAGCGAGGTTTTATAACTAGTCAAAGTGAACACCAAACCGGTTAAGTGTGTGCATCTTTCTCTTAACGTTTATACTTATTGCAGAGAGAATTGTGAGAAAATAGTGGTTTCAGACTTTTTTACCATTCCAATTCCTTACTAGTTGTTGAGACTGCTTCATATGCAACACGGCTAGTTATATAACGAATATCACCGGAAATGATATATGTATCCTAATTTATTGGCCAGTTTTATATGAAGGCTTCTTTTGTAACTTTGAAGTCCAGTCACTTTCACACGATCATTTGTCCATGTGACTTGGCCTCGAAACATCGTCATATCATATTGTCACTTGACACTGTTGCCTTGGTCTGACCGTCCACGGGTAGCATCACAATCCTCGGGAATGAAGCATAGATATGGGTTGTAACCTCGTTCTTATCTAGTAGGATGGAACGTTGTCATGTCATTTTCTTGTTTAGCCCACTCTAGCACTGTGCTGTTTGGTGTAGTTTGCGTGCAAGGCGCTTGCTGTCAAGAAGCTTTCCAACTAACAATTATATGTTTTATAAATTCGTAACGATGTTTACAGAACTATTTTTATAAAACAGCGATGCCCCTATAAACACTCTAACAACGTTTATACCACGCTTATAAACAAAAAAGAGCGTACTTTTGAGCAGCAATTTTGTTCTTTGATTTGTTTAATTAAGCTGCCACAGCTTTTATCGGGTATAGAACTAGAATAACACAGTTTTATAAGTTGTTTTATTATCATAGTCCCAACTTTCTTGTTTTTACTAACACTAAAAGTTTACTTTTGTTGTTAAATTGCACCCACTGAGAATAATTTGTTTTTTTAATGACCATTGATACAACAAAAAGGCAAGCATTAGATCTTTTTAGCAACTAAAATATCTTTGTAGTAGCCAGATCAGCATTTCAGTTCTGATATATAGACACCCAATGCCAGTCAGATAAAAATTCACTTTGCAATCTGATGGTTAAATATTTTACTGTGCAAGAAATTTTGTTGTATAATAAATGGGATATATGTAGCAAAATTTTCAAGCGCGAATTTTAAGAGAAAATGTCAAAATTTTCATTCTGTATTTTATCTTATTCTGGCGTGCATTGTAATAAAATAATCCAATTGAACCATCTTATGCCATTATAAGGGTGTAAACGTTATGATAGTCATTATTTAAATGGGTGATAGAGGTTGTTAAAAGAAGCAAAAAGTTTCATATAATATGGGGGTCAAAACGGCTTTTTTTTTAGAGAAAAGCGACTTTAAAGTAAAATAAAATCTGACAACGCCGCAATGCCAGACGCAAATTACGACGGAACGCAGTATAAATAAAGATGGAGTTTGTTATTTTTGGCTCTTAGGTATTATTTCATTATTTGATAATGTACTCGTAAAATGCAAACAATTAAAAAAACGGACTTACCACTAACTGTCTCAGCGCTTCACCTGGTGTGTTAAACTTTATTGAACGTATTAAAAAAATCCACTTATAAATGGGGAACACAATTTTGATACATACATTGTTTTTCGTTTTAAAACCCACACTGCACTTTTTTATATTTAAAGGTGTTCAAAATGTCCACACAAACGGTTTTGCTTTATAAGATATTTCAATAAAATATTTAGTTTATGTGTATATTTCATTTAAATAGAGATGTATTGCAGGAAAAAGCGTTAGTGTAAAAAAACCCATGCGTGTATACCGGGTACCAAAATTAAAGCAAAAATATGGATGTCAATGCTTGTTGGCAACTAGCGAATCTATGTTATAATTTTCAACTATCCGTGCTATTTTATTTAATTAAATTATTTAATACAAGACAGTTTTAGGACAAATTTTAATATTGTTTTATAAATGTTTACAAAACAATTTTATACGACATTTAAGCTTACTGAACAAATTTGTTTCATAATAGATTTATACCGGTATTATCTGATTATCGGGGGGCAGTATCAGAAAGAAAATATTAATAAATCAATTTTATAACAAAATAATTACCACTAAGACAATCAAGCTTTTAAGAAGTATCTTGCTTTATAAGGTAATAATAAGAATATTCTTACGGCAAAACTACAAAACAATTTTATTGATGTTCGCAAACGAATACACTCGTATCGGATAATACCAGTATAAATCTGTTATAAAACAAATTTGTTCGGTAATCTTAAATATCGTATAAAATTTTCCCTAAAACTGTTTTGTATTTTTGCCGAAAGAACATTCTTACGACTACCTTATAAAGCAAAATACTTCTTAAAAGCTTAATTGTCTTACGGGTAATTATATTAAAACAAAATTGCATCTTAAGACTAGTAATAAAATAAAATAGCACGGACAGTTGAGATTTACAAAATATATTTGCTAGTTGGGTTCCCTTCGGCCTTCTAATTCCTTTTATGTTACATAAGATTCTTATATTTCCAGTATCACGTGTGTTGGTCTTCAAAAGGGCCATGAGCAATGCTGTATCTGTGAGCTGGGATATCATAAGTAGCCAGTTGTGTCGTTTATTCAGCTGCGATAAAATCACGTTGCTCAAAGTGAACCACGGACGATTGTGAGCTGGAGAATTTTGTATGACTAGTTCTACGATTTTATGAGAATATATTTCTTCCAAACCGAATAAAGAATAGATACGACACGAAGCATCCGGTTTTGCAAAAACGATTTTCGTATCCTCTGTATCGGCCGACTGTACTTACCGTAAATAACGAGGATGCTAAAACCGTACTAGGAGAAAGTCGTATGTTTGTTTCACCAGGCACAGTCATCTTCATAAAAAATTTCACCGACTATATGCATGCACTTCTTAAAACGACTTCAAAAATTACATTTAATGCAAGACTATCAGTTTTTTTTAATTTGGCCAATAAAATGAAGAACATACAAATCGGATTTTTAAGCTCCTCATTGCAGTCTCGATGTCCCGGCATTTAGGTTTCTGCCTTCATGGGTGCATCAGCATGAAAAAAAACTCAAACACCGCTCCTATGTATTACTCGTCGTAACACACTGTATATATTTAAACGTTCTTAATGCGTTTGTCGTCTTGAGCGGACACTGATTTCCGTGATGTAAAAAAAATTTGAAATTTTTCGCGTTGACAAAGTGCGTACTTGGGTATTGCATATTACACTTTTGGCAATATCTTTGTATATTTACTTTATATTTTTCATTGCAGAGGACATTCTCGCTGATAGTGGAAGCATGGCATGGAAACAGATCGTCGCATTCAGCTGGTATGTCAAAAAAATTATCGGTGTTTATTTTAAGAGTACACACTCAAGAATAGTAGCATCACTGGCGGGAACCTTTTATGTCCGAATCTCTGACACCCGACGTTTTGTCGGCTCCACCTGAAGGATATCGTTCTTTTCATTGATGTTAAAAATAACTATTCACAACGTTACAGCAGTGATCCCACTACTCGTGAGTCTGTATACATTGGCTAGTGACTTTCTGGTACCTTTGCGTGATAAGGATGTTTCTTTTCAGCCTCGGATGTGCGTTATTAAGTTGAATACTTCATATTACTGAATTTTTCACATAAATGCTAACTCAACTTACTCGTTTTCATTGTCATCATGTTTGATTGCTTTCAACAACAAAATGGTTATTCATTTCAACAAAACTCTGGTGTTCCAGTCGTTTTATACGTACTCCAGGTACGTTTTCATTTACATACGTTGCAGAATGTAGGTCGAGCGGATGTTGCGCAGCATATACCTGCACCATGTTTCTAGGGGAAAGCACATGATCTTTCACATGTACTATATGCAACATGTTACGGATTGTCAGAACGTCTGGCATATATGTCGCGCCACACGCGTTCGGCACATTTACTGCCAACCTATTCAGATCTGAAGAAAAACAAGTTCTAAATTAATTTTTTACGGATTTATCTAAACAAGCCAAATCTTGAATGTCACTATTTAGTGGATTGACAAATGACTCAATTACTTTGTTTTTATACAATGCTCATCAAGTTAAATCCACTAATATATATATATATATACATATATATATATATATTTTTTTTTAATTCTCTCTAGCTTTCAATGGACTTTGCCATCATCATCAGGAGCTGTAATTACAATGATAACAGTAGCAACAAAGGTGTAAAATGAATTTAAATTGACTCAACTTACAGTAGTATGTGAGAATGTTGCTAATTGTTGTTTTCGTATAGGATGAGGGAAACGTCCAGTAACATGGTGAGAGCTGAATAGGTTGCACAATAGTCAAAATTTATACAAAACATGACAAGAACACGTTAAAAACAGATTAAAAATTATTTTAAAAAATTAGAACATTACATCGTGAAACCACCTGATGATTGCACAAATTAGTGGTCATGGAATGATGAATTTATGATTGACATGAAACCCTTTGACAGAAGGCCGAAGGATGTCAATGTCAGTATTGAAAGATGGAACGAATTGTGGGCGTGTGCCAAAAACGTTGCCAAATCACTTCAGATGAAGAGATTTTCAGAATTTTATGATGGAATTTGTTAGACCGACCAGAGGCAGTTGAATAAACTATATTATTATTAATGGGAATTTAAATTAACAATTATTAATAAATCGTGAGGAGAGAATTATTATATTTTGAGTGGAATGAAATTTACTGGTGGAAACGGCCAAAACACAGATTCTAATTATGGTTGTGAAGAGTTGAAATTTGGGGAGATATGTAAGTTCTCCAATTTTTCGCAGTTTAGCAAATATGAGTAAATGACACTCAGTTGTTTAACATCTGTCTTTTTGTTGATACAGTTGTTATTCATGAAAATGTGGGACATTTCCAGGAATAAACGTTTGGAAAGGTGTTTTTCTTTATCAAGAACTTTGATACTTGTGTAATTCATAGAATGCCCTGTTGTGTTAACATGAGATGCTAGAGCGCATCTTTCAGGATGAAGCCTAGCATCACTTTTGTGTGATGTAATCCTTCCTTTTAGAGATCTGGAGGTCTGACCTATGTATATTTGGTTGCAGTTGTTGCAATTGATGGAGTAGACTGTGTTGGTTAAGCCAAGCAGCGGGACTTTGTCTTTCATTTTTGAAAAAATGCAGTTTATAGTGAGGACGGATTTGCAAGCAATTCGAAAGTTCAAAGGACTGCACAATCTGATCAGCTTAGGGGTCAGTTCCTTGATGTAGGGCAGGACAGCAAAACCAGGTCTGGAGTCCGGGTTGGTGCTAGTACTGTTAGGATTGATGTTATTATTGGGAATTACATCAGTTCCGTTATTAGGGGTTGTGCGACTATTACAGACATTACAATAAAATCTTTCATAACATAAAAAACTCCAACACTCGTAAGTTTGACAGATTGTTGAATGACACCAAAAAAACCTTCCTCAACACTCAACAAAATTGGATAAAAAATCTCAGTAACGTTGACATCCCTCATGACATATTAAAATTTTCCTTAGGGCCTAAGTTCAGTGTAGAGCCGATTGTTAACAATGACATTCCAATCAGATCAATCTTAGCGGATGTAGACACAATAGCATCCTCCATAAGTGATGACACTGAAAGAAACATTTTCACAACTCGTTCCACTAACCTCATCACTAACTACTATCATAATAACAATCTTAATAAAAAACATTCCTTTTATCACAACCTTTTAAACATAACTAGAACATTTCTAAAACAACATCCTGAACTTATGGTTACAAGATCTGACAAAGGCAATGTTACAGTGATAATGCTTAAACAACACTATTTAGATCTTTGCAACAATCTCATCAATGATGACCCATCATATCATGAAATTAATACAGCTCCTGATGATGATGGCAAAGTCCATTGAAAGCTAGAGAGAATTAAAAAAAGTATAAAGAGTCCTCTTTGCTTAAATCTTGTCGAAGTACCCAACAAAAAAGCGGAAGCTTTAATTTTTCACCTAACTGGTCTAGACGACAATGACCACGTCTCAAGTTATATATATATATATATATATATATATATATATATATATATATATATTATTACTGTTCGCCATATTGCCCAAAACGGGACATGTTTCTTTGTCGTGTTCAAATCAATCACCCTGTATATAGGTAAAAATGAAATTAGTCCACTATGTCCATTTAGTTCTGGACCACTCAGTATAAAGGAGACCACCAACCAATTGTGGAGTATACTCAACCAGTCTTATGATGAGGCTCATGGTGTTGCTCTTGATATCACGAAAGCGTCCGTTCAGCTGTGGCACACTGCCCTCTTAAGCAAACTTGCATCCTATGGCCTCCCAGAAAAGCTTTGCAGATGGGTGGTTGACTTTCTCTGTGACCGCAAGATTTCCTTCGAATTGATGGGTACTCCTCTTCATCCCAAAACGTCAACGCAGGCGTTCCCCAGGGATCGGTCTTGGCTCTGTCCCTCTTACATATTAACGAACTTCTTTCCTGTATGATCAACCCAATCCACAGCTTTGCTGATGACAGCACTCTACATGCAGGAATTCAGACCGACAAGCCGCTCTCTGCCGGTGAGCTGGAAAAAAAGAGGACTAGCGGCGACTTCCTCTGTGACGAGAGATATGGAGGATGCAACAATCTTGTGCAGTGTAATGCTTCCAAAACACAGTACTGTACCTTGACGAACAAAAAGCGCCCTAGCGCTAATCCGGTCTCGATGGTTGGCCGAGTTCTGCCAAAGAGCTGATCGGAGTCCAGATCACCGAGGACTTGATCTGGCATTTGTTTAGGGCTAAGAAGTAATTTTCTATGACCTCCTCACTCTTCACAAGGCCCAGATAAGACCTGGCCTCGAGTATTGCTCACGTTTGGGGTGCTGCCGCCCCGACTACATTATCTATGCTCGATGCTGTCCAGATGTGCCTGCAAAACAGATCCGCCAGACTTCGGCCTCCCATCTTAACCGTGTCGAACTTCGTACACCCAGAACTGGACGATACGACCGCCCTTTGTCCAGAGGATGTCGAGATGGTGGAACAATCTACCAGCGCAAGCTTTTCCCAGTTCTACTAACCTTGGGCAGTTCAAAAATAGAATTAACAAAATCTCTTTGGGATCCTCATAGCAGCTGCGGAGTCGTGGCTGCTTCGGTATAAAGAAGAAAAAAATAACCTTTATACAGTATTTTGACCATTTTTTGAGTTCTTGCCTCAACGAACGTCCATGCCTTGTGTTTGATCCTTATAAAATTAACAAGGCTGGAGTCTTGTGATCACGTTCTTTGAATCCACTGCATCTTTGCAACCTTCATGATGAAGTAGATTGTAATGTACTTTCATTTTAAGGTTTGAATTATTTAAATGATTTTCCATCTAGTCGGTCTTTCTGAGCTAATATAAATTGTAAAGCTAAGGCACGGAATTGATAATCATCCCGAAAATAGTAAGTGTAACAAATTTTCAAAAATCACGAATTTTCTACTAGCTGGTAATCAAAGTGCATTTTTGCTCCTTTATTTCTCTACAGTGCGAAGCTGCAAATGTCGCTCTGTTATTGACAAATGTCAACTTTGCGAGCCCGTCTAAGATTTTCCACAAAAAGCCACATGAACCAGATGTTGGTATGTTATCCATTCTACAGCTGAAAGGTGTACGGTAATACGTAAATCATAAGAGGAAGTGACTTTCAGATTATCAGGAAGAAGGCTGTTTGCTCGAGACCACGAGATGACAGCTGCTATGCATGTGGTATTTTAAAAACCACTATATTGGAAGATATTTACACATACTTTGAATCTGCGCTAAGTATAACGGGTATACACTGATACACTATTGGTTAAAAGTGTACAAATGTGTGACTGTACTCTTTTACCGACTTACGTAAAAGAAACACCTTATATGCGAATTTATAGTATCAGATCAGATTCTCAGGCATCTGTTTACTTAGGTTATGTTTTATATGCAACAAGAACTATTCAAATCTTATAGATTTTTTTATATCTCGTGTTTCTTAAATTATTCATCATTTTCAGGATTTTCACATTTCTGTTATTTGATGGCTGGGAAAATATTAAATCAAGTGTATGAATGATAGATTCGGTCAGTGAAGTTCTAAGAGTACGAAAGTCATTTTTGTCAGGTTTAAACATTTTAGTACCATGCCAAGGAGATAGCTGATCGAAGGCACCTCATATATATATATAAACGTCATGGGATGTTAACGAATGTTTTGTACAGTTTTATTTATAGTAAAGAAGGCTTTGTTTGACTTACGCACTGTTAGAGCTTTGAAGTTGACTCGGTGCAAAATTAAAATTTTC